CATAAATCAGATGTAATCCCAGCATAAATCAGATATAATTCCAATATAAATCAGATATAATTCGAGTGTAAATCAGAGAGAGGGGTCTGGCTGCAGACCTGCACCGTCAGGATGCTTTATTGCAGACCTACACTATGGGGTCTGCTACATTGTCAGGACTAAACGTTTATTCTTGATGTTTTATTCAAAGCCTTTCGGAATACCCCGTAGCACGTGTGTGCCGCCTGGTTTTATTACAAGAAGACATATTTGTGAGGTGAGTCCTCACTTAAATGTGCCATTTTCCTGCTTTTCCCCCATTTAAAGACCAAGAAAACTGTTTTATCATAATTTTGAGAGATTTTCTTTTACTTATTACAACATAATCTGTTTTTTACAAACGTACATTTTAATTCTGACTCCCATTGGTACTTCACCAAAAATTAAACACTGCACGTCATGCTGGGAAATCTGCTGTGTTCAAGAAATTTCAATAAATAGATTATTTGAAAATCTGTTTTGCGTCTATGGTTTTCTCCCGTGTTGTTGGAAAATAACTGAAGTTTTTGGCCCTTTTCATCATTAATTCGCTGTGAGAACACTCAGTGAGAACAGCTAATAAGTTAATTTGAAATCACACCTTTAATCTTGGTTTTCCAACAGCAAAGGTAAGAAAATACCATAAACAATACTAAACGAATATATATATATATATATATATATATATAATACTGGCAAACACACATAAGCTATGAATTTATAAAAGAACTGAGTTAATTTTGTTATTTTGACATTTTCTTGCATTTTTTTATCTATTTGAACTGGAAAGAGCTTATATATATTATATATATATATATATATATATATATATATACACACACTCACACACACACGAATAATACAGTTTGAACAGCAGTAGAACCTCATACCTCTCATACCTAAACCTTCTTGTAGTCTGTGGGTCTGCAGAGCTATCGTGCAAACCCACCTCAACAACAGCATAATCCCTAATCCCATAATCCCTATGTAATCCCAGTATAAATCAGATATATTCCAAGCATAAATCAGATGTAATCCCAGTATAAATCAGATGTGATCCCAGTATAATCAGATGTAATCCCAGCATAAATCAGATTTAATCCCAGCATAAATCAGATGTAATCCCAGTATAAATCAGATGTGATCCCAGTATAAATCAGATGTGATCCCAGTATAAATCAAATGTAATCCCAGCATAAATCAGATTTAATCCCAGCATAAATCAGATGTAATCCGAGCATAAATCAGATGTAATCCCAGCATAAATCAGATGTAATCCCAGCATAAATCAAATGTAATCCCAGCATAAATCAAATGTAATCCCAGTATAAATCAAATGTAATCCCAGCATAAATCAGATGTAATCCCAGCATAAATCAGATGTAATCCCAGTATAAATCAGATGTGATCCCAGTATAAATCAGATGTAATCCCAGCATAAATCAGATGTGATCCCAGTATAAATCAAATGTAACACCAGCATGATTCAAATGTAATCCCAGCACAAATCAGATAG